ACTAAATGTAACATTTATCCCATTTCTATCTAAATTTCTAGTTGATATTTGGCACGAGCAATTTATGTGTTCTGAGTATTTCCAAGTGCTATTTATACAATCCAATTGAGTTTCTTAATTTTCTTGGTGTTTTCTTTCATCAATTTTCTTGTTTTATTTTTCTTTTTTCACTTTTTCAGTGCCATTTTTTTACCCTATTCTTTGAATTTAGCTTTGATCTATTGAATAAAGGATCCTAAAAAACAAATCAAATTATCACCCGCGGGAGAAGCGAGGCAGGAGGTGGGTGGAATGGAGGCAGGGGTCGGGGGAGTTTTTTTGGCAACAAGACTGGGGACCGGGGGGATCCCCTGCTCCAAACACGCCCTGTTGCCATCCTACTTGCGTTCTTTACTCCCTTTTTCCTTGTTAAAAGCAAATGAATTAAGAAAACATGCCTTTTTTTTATGATTTCTGTAATTCTTTTAAACCCCTTCATTTCTAGCATCTTTCTGGCTCAAATTCTTTAGATTTTGCATGCACTAATCACTTAGAATATCTAGTTTTTATATTAATATTCAAATTTTAACTACACTGAATATCTTGAACTGTTACAAAATGTGGAAAACTGAATTTTGTAAGTTACAAAGTAACAGTTTTTGAGTGAGGATGCTATGGTCTTTTAATAATGTAGCTGGTTTGAATTAAAAAAATTGCATGTTGATTAAATTGATCTCATAGTTATTCTAGTAATTGCAAGTATAACATACAAATAAAAAAATAAATTCATAAGATAAAATTCGTGTATTAACAAGGTCTACTATAACATAAAAAGATTTGTCAAATGCTGATTTCAAGGCAAATGAATGCAAATTCAGCTTCCAAGCGTAACGCAATATCACCAACTTGTAATTCATTCTAGATGCTTGTACAACTCTACTCTCCTGCCTCTCCCCACACCTTTCCCACATTCCAACATAGTTTTCAACTTTATAGCGGGAAAGACTCTAAACGCAAATATGTAATATTTAACTACGATTCATTTGGATTCTATATGGATAAATTACTTTTTACTTCCCTATAATTTAGTGTTTTACTACATAACCCTTTTATGGTTGAAAAACCTATATATAACCTCTTCCTAATTTGAGTTAAAGTGCCACCGTTAGTTTTTTTTGTCAAAACTAACGGTCAATGATAAAGAATCAAAATCAAAGTAATAAATTGACAAATTTACTCTTCCATTACTTCTTTTCTTCCTCCAGACATGAAAGAAAGAAATTGAAATAAATAATGAATAAATAAGAACTAGAAAATACCATTAAAAATATGGTTTAAACACCTATAATAATATTTGTAGTAAAAAAATATACTTTTTGTTTCTTATTTATTTGTTTTATATTTTCCTTCCATCTTGTTAGTTTCTTTTCTATTTACTTTTGTTTCCCTTCCATCTCTTTTGTTTTTGGAGAAAATTAAGATTTTGTAAGCCAAAGTATAGATTTTCAAAATCATCTCTTCCGTTCCCAAAAAAAAAAAAAAAAGAAAAGAGAGAGAGAAAAGGGAAAACAAAGTAGCAAAAATGGTGAATTTGTAAATTTATTAGGTTGACTTTGACTTTTTACTATTAATTATTAATTTTAACGGAAAAACTAATCAGTGACACTTTAACCCAAATCACGAGATGATTATATATAAGTTTTTAAATCATAGAGAGTTATCTAATAAAATACCAAACTACAAGACGTAAATGGTGTTTTACCCATCCCATATATAACAAATGTGTCTTTTTAACAAAATTGTATAAATAATTAATAAAGAATTACAAATTACTCAAATCGTATAATACAAACAACCCTTACACTTTCCAAATACTTCTGTATCCTTACCATAGCAAATCACTGAATCACGTGTCTGACCAGGTGGCAGGCAGTGTTCAACGTCATGGGATTTCATCCGACAAGTAATCCTCAGAAGCTGTATGTATCTTAGCTACCACCAAACGAACCCATGAATATTTTAAGTCTTGTTTCTGTTTCTTGACAAGTAATCTTCTGTTGCTTCTTCTACAAAACCCCCGACTGAAGTGTCTTTACTCTTCAGAACCATCACTACACCTCTCTTATACAACGAAGGTCACCAACATGCTCTCGTCGTCCTCTTTTCTGCTCTTCATATTAATCATTTCTGCAAATCCTTGTGTAAGAGCCTATAATCAAGGAGGCAATGGAATTGCAGAAGAGTTTGAAGATGTCAAAAGATCAGATTTCCCAGCTGGATTTCTCTTCGGTGTTTCCACTTCTTCATATCAAGTATATAAAATTACAAATCATGTGTTTCTTTAACCTTCTTGTTCTTGTCTGCATTTTTTGGTAGAATACTTTCTATGAAATTCTCTTGGAATTTGTCTAATATGAAACCACTTCAATGGTTTTAGATTGAGGGTGCAATTCTTGAAGATGGAAAGAGCCTTAGTGACTGGGATGTTTTTGTCCGCAAAATTGGTAATAAGTGATACTTTTAAACTGCCTCTTGCAGCTATGTGTTTTTCTATACAATTTTGGTTCAATGAATCTGATTAAATTTCTACTTTGTTTCCAATTTTTTAAGGTAATATAAAGAATGGAGACACCGGAGATATAGCGACTGACCATTACCATCGTTACATGGTACCAAGTTACCAGCTCTGCTACTCTAATTTCTTGTTTTTACTTATCTCAATGTACCTTAAACATTCTAGATAAATGATATGAAGATGTAAATTAAAGATTTTGAGCAGCAAAACGATATAAAATTTGTTTGCTTTTGGATCGTAACAGGAAGATATTGAGATAATCCATTCCCTTGGGGCGGATGCTTACCGTTTCTCCATTTCCTGGCCAAGGATACTTCCAAGTACGTTTTTTTCCCCTCAGGTATAACCCCTTTTGGTCCCATTTTTCTTTGAATGCCACGGACTTATATGTTTGAATGGTTGTTTAGATGGGAAATCCGGTGGTGTTAATGCAGCTGGAATCATGTTCTACAATAGTATTATTGATAACCTTTTACTCCGAGGTACTAAGCAAACATAACATGTTTCTTCCACCTTTCATCTCTCATTTACTTCTATTGTTTCAGAGGCTTAGATACATTGTATCAATGCAGGCATTCAGCCATTTGTGACAATTTACCACTGGGACATGCCTCAAGGGCTTAGTGACAAATACGGGGGCTGGCTCAATCCTCTGATTCAGTATGTTGAACTATAAATCTGATTATGGATTTTGTTTGGATGATATTTAACTCTTCAATAAGATCACAATTTCGGGTATATCTGACAAATTAGGGATGATTTCCTCCATTTTGCTGAAACATGTTTCAAGAATTTTGGTGATCGGGTAAGGTATTGGGTGACCATAAATGAACCAAATACAGTTGCAGAATGCGCCTATGAAAGGGGAAAACATCCTCCAGGTCATTGCTCCCCTCCTTTGGGCAACTGTTCAGCTGGTAATTCAGATACCGAGCCCCTAATTGCAGTGCATAACATGTTACTTGCACATGCCAAGGCTTCCAAACTCTATCGCGAGCAGTTTCTGGCAAGTCAAATACTTAGTTTGCATAAATCATGACATCAACTTGCATTACTGCATCCCTTTGTTTTACAGCTTAACATTGTTGTTATCGTTTCAACAAAGGAGGCGTATAATCTGAACTGCACATTTTTTGTTGCAGCCCAAACAAGGAGGTGTAATAGGAATGGTGCTCCACTCATTTATGTTTGAACCATTAACTGATGATGAGCATAACAAGGAAGCTGCAGATAGGGCTTTGGCTTTTAATCTGGCTTGGTAAGTCATGACATCACCTTAAACTGCACCCTTCACCCTGGGACTGGAAGCTTCCACAGTCATGTACCCTAATGAGCTAGAAGCATTGAATTTCCCCTTTTCCTGTCACTCAATCGCAGCCTAATTAGCTAGAAGCATTGAATTAAGAAAATTTTCTATACGAAAAAAATAAAAAAATGACCAGATGCCTCATTTTTTATGTGCCATGGTTCAATTTATAAAACAGGGCTTTGGATCCTCTCGTGTTTGGTGATTATCCTCCAGAAATGCGTCGATACCATGGGAATGAGTTACCCAAATTCACATCAGAGGAAAGACTGCTCATAAGGGATAGCATTGACTTCATTGGACTAAACCACTATTCAACTCTTTATGCCAAGGATTGCATACACTCAAGTTGTTCCTGCTCTGGCTCTGCCTGTCTCCCTGGTGGAGACCGTGCCATCCTAGGCTGTCTCCACATCTGCAGAGAATGGTGGTGTTTTGATTGGAGAACCTGTATGAGAATCAGATTTATCCTGATTTATTGCATTGACTGTATATCAGATTCTATTTGTTATATAGCTTAAGATTAGCTTTTTCCCAATCTTGTTTTTTTGCTGTTTTTAACAGACAGGGATGCCTAGATTCAGTGTTGTTCCAAGAGGAATGGAAGAGATTGTAGACTATACAGTGAATCGATACGATAACAAGCCCATTTTTATTACTGAGAATGGTAAACATATACATTTGGAAATATCTGTGATTTGGATTAGTTTTGAACATCCACAGTTTTTGCTCTTGCTCTTGTGCTCCTGTTCCACATTGAGTTGGCTCTGATCGTGTTATTCAGATAAAATTTGCACCTGGAGTGCAAGTAGATCTATGTTTTTAGATGTTATGTTGTCTCAAAAACTGCTACCTTGTCATGTCTTATTCTAACTTTTACCACACAATAATCAGATTTTTCTAACAAGTGCTCAATGGATACTTGTGAGTACACAATTTGAATGCATACTCACATTTATTACTCCCTGCATTTAAATACTTTCTCGATTTGATCTCACTTTTCCCAGTAATTAATACATGAAATCCATCTTATTGAGTGTCCAGTGACCACTAAGCATTGTTAGACAAGCTCATAATAATTCTATCTTACCTACAGGTTATTCTTCGCCACTGCAACAAGATCAACTTGATGATTTACAGCATGACGTCAAGCGAATTGAATTTCACCAAGCATACCTAGCATCTTTGGCTCGAGCCATGAGGTGAGATTGTTCCTCTGATTGTACTGAAATTATTTGCTCGAATAACTAATAAAAGTAATTATTTTTTGTTTGATAGAAATGGTGCTGATGTGAGGGGCTATTTTGTTTGGACTTTGATGGATAATTTTGAATGGTCATTTGGGTATGATGTGAAGTTTGGACTTTATTCTGTTGATCGGGCAACGTTGAATAGAATTCCTAGGTCCTCTGCCAAGTGGTATAGAAATTTCCTGAGGAACATCAGCTCCAATGGCATGAAGCCCAGAACTGCATTTTCACTTTGGAGCAAAGTTGGTAGAGGAGAAGAAGAGTGATGAACTAATGTTTTCAGTTCATTTCCCCCCTTTATCGAACATATGTTTATCCAAGAATGGTGAGGATATTGAATAGCAAGCTCGAACTGTGCCTCGCTGCATTATGTTGTATTATGCGAGATCAAATTTACCCTTACAGTTTACAGCACGAAGAAGAACTGGAAATTTCGTGGCTATTAAGAAAAATTAAAAAAAAAAATTCGGATTGTCTTTCACCAGGAATGGCTCCTCTTTGACCCTGAGTTTGAAAAAACGAAAGATATTTAAAAAAAAAAAAGAAAAATCCTCATTTAGTTTTTCTTTCTTTGGGCAAATTACACCTTTTCCCCCCTGTGGTTTAGTGGTATTTTAGATATCCAACATATAGTTTCAAAAATTATATATAATCCCTTCATAGTTTAAATTAAAGTGTTTTTTGTAATGGAACCGTTGAAATGTTGAGATACCTTCATTTATAAGCTAACATGATTGGAGTGACCAAGATATATAAACGTAATATGCATGAAATTTTAGCTCGTTATGGTTTATTGCTTTATCATATAATCTCCATATAGTTTAGTGGTTTATCATATAACTCACTTATAGTTTTCAAAATTTATATATAACTCCTCATTCTGCTTAACAAATAATTTTCATCTTAACATAAGGGTACTTTTGAAATTTTATTCGACTCCATTCTCTTTTTTGACACTTTAGTCTAAATCATGAGGGAGTTATACATCAATTTTGAAATCATAAGAGATTTACGTAGAAAAGTACTAAATTAAAGGGGGCAAAGTGTAAGTCATCCTTTTCTGGATAGTCACATTTAATTTTTTTTTTATTTTGTCTTTTAAAAAAGATTAATAGTGGCTCTTCACTTACTCTTTTGATGATTCGAACCATGACCTCTTAATTATAAGCAAAGCATCTTACCAACTAGGCAACACTTGATTGTCAAATCATATTTAAGTTGTCAAAACTTTACAATTAGAATGAAGTTATTGGTAGGTAGTTGTTACATTTAATCATTAAACATGTTAAGTATGCAGGTGCATGAGAATTTGGAACAATGACAGTTTAGCATTTTATACCACTACTATGTTTTTCTTCTTTAGTAAAAATATTACATTAGACAATAATTAGTAAATTTTTTAAAATAATTTTTAAGTATTTTTCAATTATATAGTAAGTTGCTTGATTTCTTAATTGGTAACACAGGAGGGCAGCATAATTGTGAAGAATAGAAAGTACGCACTCTTTTACATTCAAGAAGAGCCTAATATCGAAATTTGATAGCATGAAAACATCCTATGAACTATTAATGGAGGAAAAAGGACGTTATATTGTAACGATCTAATTTATTCAGTCCATAAAGAAAAAGAAAAAGTTGCTTGCAGAAAAATATCATATTACATATTTGAGAGCCAAGAAATTAAACTTTCAAGGATAATTGGATAAATCTCCCTTGAAGTTTTTCTTAATATTATTTAGAGCCCTTGTTGTTTTCAAAATCTCTCATACCTCCCCTAGATTACTGTTTCATAACATTGTCAACCCCTTTGGGTTAAATTAACATTAAAAAAATGCGTATTACAAGAGAGACAATATTTAAGTTTCATGTCTACCCTTTATACTGTCCTTTAAATCATTATTAGGACAAAAATGGAAATAGAAATATACTGAAAGAGAAAGGTAAAAATAGGAGAGGGCATACTTCCAATAAAGAGCAAAGTTGCAGCAACTGAGCAGTTTTTATAACTATTACCACAATGGATAGTACTTCAGCTTTTCAACTACATAAAAATGCAATAACACAACAACAAAAGGAACATGAATTCAGCAGCAAAAGATAAAAGTAAAGAACAAAATTGGGAGAAGATATTATAGCACAACGTGGTAATTTCCAATAGGATGGCACTCTTGTAATTGACCAACATCATTTACCATAAAGAATTGATATTATGGAAGGCCCTCTTAAAATTCACCAACACAATTTGCCAAAATATTTTCAACAACAATAACGATGATAATATTATGTTAACACTAACATAGAACTGAAACACTAAAAGCTGGGTGATTTTAATGTCTCAATCCATTTTTTTTTTTTTTTTTGAAGAGTGTCAGAATCCATATTTTAATACCAGAGAAATATTCTTTTAAAATGAAACATTTATCCTTTTCAATGTGAAGTCAATCTTTGACCGGTTGAGGGTGTGTCCCTTAATTTAAAGTATAATTGCAGAAAAATTAAAATTTGAAAACCATAAAAGTAGCCCTTCAGAGTTGAGTTTTGTATTTTTTAGTCCCCCACTTTTAAAATGATGCATTTTGATCCCTTACCTATGAGGTTTTATACTTTATTAGTCTCTCACTTTTAAAAGGTGTAATTTGGTCTTTCACATATCCAAAAGACATCATTTTTACCCCAATTCTCATTTCCATTAACATTTTCACTTATAATTGAACCAAAGCTCAATATATATATGTATGTATGTATGTATATTATTGAAGTACCTAAATTCATTCTTTGAAGATTTGAATCCAAGATTTATAGATATTGAATTCAAACCCTTTGCCCCATGCTTGTTTCTTAAATCACACCAATCCCTTGCTAAAAAAAGATCAACTATTTTTTTTTATTTTCTAGATATAAAAAAAACTAGGTAAAGGCAGAATGTTTAATTTTAGTACTAAAATTTTATTGGAGGTGATTTTAGGCACAAAAATAATATGTTTTCTTCATAACAGCATATTATGATTCAAGTTAAAGAGTTCTTAAAAATGTTTTCTTTTCTTTGTAATAATTTAAACTTCTCGTCTGAATCATGATAGCATTAAAACTAAGGCGGTTCCCTACTCCAATTTAGCTTCAAATGGTAGCCGTACTAAATTTTTATGGATTGGTCATGATTTTGCACGTGTAATTTGGCATATTGGTTTTAGTTATTTTAGGTGAAAATGTTATCAAAATTCATTTTTGGACTGAAAATGGTGAATCCTATATGTGTAAGGGACCAATACTCATCATTTTAAAAGTGAGAAACTAAAAGAGTAGAAGCGCTAAAATGCAAGGGACAGAAACACGTCAATTTACAAGTGACCGACTAAAAAGGTGCAAATCTCAAATCCGAAGGACTATTTCTGCAATTTTCCATTTAAAGTACCAATTGGGTCCAATACCATGTGCCCTAAGAGTTACACCTTTCGTTATGTGTTAGGTATCATTACGTCAACATTTACCCAAACCTAATATCCTTTGGGTTTATACAAAGACAAAACAAATCTATTTTCAGAAGGCAGATTTCTATGAACTTTGATTTCTTCGTTCTTTCATTCTAGTCAACAGTTTAACGTAAACCAAAAATAATTATTGATGTAGCAATTTAATAGTAGCAAGTGAACTTCTTCGTTTCTATAGAGACGGTACATCAAAAAATTTCAATCATTGCCTTTCGAGTCCAAGTGTTCTCATTTTTAAATTTAACAAGGTTTCCTACTAATTCATTATGCAAGTTTCCCTACTATAGAATTCAACAGGACAAAAGCCTAAAAGCATTTGGCCTTTTCTTAATATAATATCTACGGTTAGCAACACTTTGGCCCTTGAACTAGGGGGTCAAATCCACTTTGTCCTCCTTAATCAAAAGAGTATACACTTTGCCCTCTCCCAAGACCAGCCAAACGTTAAGTTCGAGCTGGATTGTCAAAAAAAATGTCATGACTAAATTGCCCTTTTATAGCGAATAATGGGTGAAAATACCCTTAGTTATCTGATCAACATCCTTAGAAATAAACACAATTTTACCTCATCTAAGTTTTGGAATTTATAAAGTTTAAAAATTTAGATATCATAATTATTTAATAACATAACAGTTTCTAATTATACAAGCCCTGTAACAATTTTCCTTATTAATCATAGAAAAGCTACGCTTTTTTAACTATAATTACTTACCTTAATATTGCCTAAATTAAATATAGATAGATATCGCTAGTAGTATGAAGGCAAGTTTTCTATTATTAAATGTTTTATTTCAACAAAATACATTTTTTGTTACAGTGGAGCAAATAATCTAAGTTTTGAAAACATTTCCATGTCTTTAGTTTAATCAAAACCACATAATTGTCATTTTATGTTTAGAGTTCATTGATCGATCACCATCTTTTGAAGCATATATTTTGACAAAGTGATTCCACAATTTTTTATTTATAAATTTTTATCAAAATATTTTGTTAATACCAAATTTATTAATATTTACAATCTCATTTTTTCTTTGAGATTAAAAATTTTAAGGTCAATTTTAAAGATTTCAAAAAGATATTATGGTAAATGAGGTTATCTATAATTCATTGTCACCAAAAATTGACTATAGAAACTGTTAATTCTATTTGGAAAAAATTATAGAAATAAAATGTAAGGAAATGTTGAAAGCATAGTAAAATTCTAGGATATTTCTTTTAAAATTTATATGAGATATTTCATCAATAAATTTTTTGGGATAAAATATACCGGTTTTAAGTATTATAGATTACATTATAACTTTATAACCACTTTAATATATTTAATAAAGATTATTAAAGAAATGCGTACATTTTTCAGTTGAGGAGAACAAAGTGTGATCAAACACTAGGGGCATAGTTGGAAGAAAAAATTTGTGTATGTTTTGAGGCTATTATTGTTCTCATGATTGGGTCTGTCATTTCAAATGAGTAGTACTCTTAATTTATATTTTTATTTATGCGGTTGTTAAGAAGGTAAGATTTTATATCTCTCTTCTATTATTTACATTATTATATTAATAAAATTTGATCTGGCAACTCTCTCTAATAGTATACGACATTTGCCAAATTAAAAAAACGAAAAACGGACTAACGTTCATTAGGTTTGAACGGGCAAAGTGTATATTATTTTGATTTAGGAAGACAAAGTAGGTAGGATTACTTAAGAGGATTTTTTTTTTTTGGATTAATAAAGTTTTAGATATGTTTCCTGAGGGGAGATAATATAATCAATGAGGTTGAGTTTTATTATTCTTTCTTAAAAAGGCTATAGGAGAATTTAGATTTTGATAACTACTCAAATTTATTCGCAATTTTTTCCGACAAAATATTTTGCCATTGCCTCGAAATGTTATGCACTAAACATTGCATT